CCTGTCCTCTACTTACATCTTACACTACAGCAGTAAGGAGCTCACGAAGACAACATTTTATTGAAAGAGTAAGGAGGCCCCTGTCCTCGACTTACGTCTTTCACTACAGCAGTAAGGAGCTCACGAAGACAACATTTTATTGAAAGAGTAAGGAGGCCCCTGTCCTCGACTTACGTCTTTCACTACAGCAGTAAGGAGCTCACAAAGACAACATTTTATTGAAAGAGTAAGGAGGCCCCTGTCCTCGACTTACGTCTTTCACTACAGCAGTAAGGAGCTCACGAAGACAACATTTTATTGAAAGAGTAAGGAGGCCCCTGTCCTCGACTTACGTCTTTCGCTGCAGCAGTAAGGAGCTCACGAAGGTAACATGCATAAACGGAAAAATATTGAAATGGTTTTGATTACCCTTATTTCTGCATAAGTTCTTCCTAAACTTCAACTGGATCGGAAGTGCCACACTAGACTTCATTTGTTGCTGATGTCACGTTAGTAGCATCTTGCGCCGACATGTCGTCCTGAGTAATGCATTCGTTTGGTTTGGGTGCAATCCGAAGTTGGTCATGAGCTACTTTTTTTCGGGCGTCCACGTCCCGTTATCTTCTTCACTTGATAGCGATCGTTTTGTAGTATTTTCCAAATCACATAAGCATCTGGGCATTTCAGGTCAAGTCCAATTTGGGACCTAGGGTTAGCCTTAAATAAGACGATGTCTTCCTTTTGGAATCTTTTGACTTTGGCTCTACCCTGATCAAATCTTGCCTCGTCTTCTTTTCCTCGTATCTCAATTTTCTTTTGTATGTAGCTGTCTAGTTGATCTCGACTTACTGTCCCTTCTTCGTCGATCAAGGATTAAATCTGGTGGTACAGCACATTGTCTTCCGGTGAGAGCTTTGATTGGACTTACATTCGTTGTCTTATTCTTGGTACAGTTCATTGCCAACTGAAGTGCTTCCAGACCCTTCTTCCAGTCTTGAGTTTCGTAATTACGAATTACAGTTAATCCATTTTTTACAACGGCCATCATACGTTCCACCTGTCCATTGGCTCGACTACATCCTGGAGCTATGAAATGCTGGTAAATGTTATGATTTTTACAAAAATCTTCAAATTCAGCTTTAAAGGCAGTGTCTTGATCACTTATGATTTGTCTTGGAGCTCCAAACAGAGATACAATATGCTTGAGTGGACGCAGCATTGAATTGGCAGTCTTATTACTCGCATAGGTCAAGGTGACAAACTTAGTATAGGCGTCAATAATATCCACAACGTATTCATGTTTGTTGTTCCTTCTGGTGAGATGTCCAGTCATATCTATGTGTATAGTGTCAAAAGGAACGGATTTCTTCTCTATAGGATACATTTCTACCTGCTTAGCTCCAGAAGGACCTTTACTGGTTTTGCAAATGCCGCAGTTGTCTATAAATCGTCTTATCGTCGCGGACATTTCGGGAAACCAGAAGCATTCTCGAATTTTACTAAGAGTCTTTTCCCATCCAAAATGTTTTAGAGCGGTACGATAAGCATTAATAACACTCCATTGGTATGATTTTGGGACAATCTTTTTCCAGTTTTTGCATCCAGGTTCTTCTTCATCGTGATAGCGCTTCAAAACAAGATTATTCATGCGGTACTCACTCATTTCCTCCTTGTGTTCTAACTTATTTATAATTCGAGCCAACTCTTCATCACGCCGTTGCTCAACCCTTAACCATGCATCGATGTTTTGAGCCAGATTAATGCATGCTACAGGGTTACGGCAAAAAAATCTGCATGTTTCATTCGACATCCTTGGCGGTATTCTTTTTTAAAATCGTAATGCTGAAGAAACGACCACCATCTATGAATTCTCGGTAAGAGTTCATGTTTACTTGACGACGACTTTACGGTATTGCAATCAGTAACAATTTTAAAAGATCTACCGTAGAGGTACTGCCGGAAGTGTTTTATTGCTCTTACTATGGCAAGAGTTTCCAACTCATAAGAGTGGTAATGGCTCTCTGGTTCGGTGGTTCTCATACTCATGTAGGCAATCACATGCTGTCGGCTGTCCTGTATTTGCATGAGGACGGCTCCCAATCCAGCGCTACTTGCGTCCGTGTGTAGTTCGATGGGAAGTCCTTCTTGAAAAATTATTAGATCTGGCGCCGAAGTTAATCGACGAATTATATCGAGTCTGACACTTTCGCATTCAGCGGTCCATTGAAATTTTGCGTCCTTTTTAGGTTGTACAGTGGAATCAATCGTTCAAAGAACGAAGGTATAAAACGTCTAAAGTAACCAGCTAAACCACAAAATTGACGTACCTGTTTCACGTTTGTAGGTACCTTCCTTCTTTGGACTCTGACGAACTGTACATATTTCCTCCGCATGGGTCAAAGCAGTGTCCAAGTTTGCTAAGGGATCTTCGGTTGTACTGACGTTGGAGATACTCGTACTGTCTTATCATGGTGGCTCCTCTTTCAGTAATGAGGATAGAGAGGTCTGTACCTCTCACTATTTCTGCTCCTATCAAAAGCCCACAAAGTATTTCGTGGTCTTCTACGATGTGGAATGCAATTTCTAGGAAAATGCCATCTGTGTCACACATAACGTTAATTCTTTGGCAAGATAAGAGTGGCATACTTTCACTACCAATACCCTTCAGCATCAAATTACAATCTTCACGTTTTCCGGGTATAGACTGACTGATCGAACGCCTTATTAAAGAGCGTGCAGCACCACAATCATACAATGTGGTGAATCGGTGATTATTAATTTTAATGATCATCGGTGTTAGTATTTTTTCTTGTTCTCCAGCTAGATTAATTTTTCGGCTTCATCGCTCATTTTTTTGAAACAGTTGGATTCATAATGACCAGTTTTATCACAGTAGCTACATTTGGGCTTAGAGCGTTCTGTTTGGTTCAATGATTTGTCTATGTTACTTGTACTCAGCAATGGCTTAGGGTCAGTCATCTTTTCGTTACCCTTATCGCAATGTGCTTGCACATGTCCAGGTTTCCCACATTTAAAACAATAGAGATGACAATACGCTTGTATTGTCATCTCTATTGTTTTTCAGTCTTGGTCGCTTAGCAGGTGGTTCACCTTGTCGAGGTTCTCGCTGTCTGAGTGTAGCTGCTACAGAAATTAGTTCAGGTACCGAAGAACATTTACTAGATAATAGACGTAACCGAAGAAACTCATTGTCTATGCAGCCAATTACAGCTTCTACAGCGTCTTTATCCTTGTCACCATTAATGATTCGCTTCCAGATATTCCAAGCCCTAGTGATTGATTCAGCTAGGTTTGACATGTCAAATTTAAAACACCGCAACTTCACTATGTCGTTTGAATATCGTGCTTCGGGCTCAAAGGTCTGTATTAACGCTTCTCGCATGTCGGACCAAACAGGTGATTTTACTAACCATGTATCTCCAAGACTTTTGGCCCGACCTTGTAATAAGCCAGCTATTTTTGTACAGACTTCGTAATCAGTCAGTTGCCAATGGGTTTTTGCCCTGTCCACGTGCTCACACCAATCTCGTACTGGTACATCACCGTTAGGATCAAACGGCGCGATATAGATATCGCTAAGTTTTGGTCGTTTTGTTGGAGCCACAGCCCGGTTTAGTAAATCTGTGAAAATCTCGTGATTAGCCTGCATACTTGCTTGCTGCTGCCGGGTCAGGGTTTCTATGATACTAGCCAACGCAGAGAGTGCCTGGTTAGCGTCATAGTTATTGCCACCTTCTTGAGTGCGTGCAAATGGAGCTGAAGAGGCCCCATTGTTGATCCCACTTCTGATGTCGGAGGGAATTATCGTCTGTTGTAACACCGGTGACGGTGGACGATAATCCTGAGGTTCTACGCCAGTTTTCGACCCTTCTTCAGTCATTTCCGACTTTGGTTGATTGATTGATTTCACTTTTAATAATTAGCACTATTTAAGTTGCAAATCAATAAAATAAAATAATTGAATAAAATAATTATAATTTATATTCAAATAATACACAGCAAACAATAATTTACAACAAGATCTAAATAAACACTTATTACGACTCAGGTGTGAACCGTGTCACAATTTAGGTGTCGACGGAGCGAGCGCCTCGATGAAACTGTGTCTGTCTGCACTGCGTGCTCCTTTTTATTGGCGACGGTCGGTCCGTCCCCACCTCGCCTGACTCGGGGAGTGGTACGATGACGTTACTCAAAAATGTGCGGGTAATCTTGAATAGCTTTGTTATTCGACGCCGACATATATTGTAGTATAAGTTAGTATTAAGTTCCGATATCTGTATTGTGAGGTCAGTCGGGAATAAATTGTCAGTGAGTACAGACGTGTTTTGTTACGTACACCACACAAACAAAATTGTAAAGGAACAATATTGTCGGTGGGTAAGGTTTGCGAATATGATCTGGACGATGGAGTATGGTCTTCGTACGAAAGACTAGAAATATACTTTCTAGAAAATGGAATCAAGACGGAGGTGAAACTACCCACTTTAATTCCAGTAATGGGGGATGCCACTTACGAATTGCTTCCAAATTTAGTGAGCCCTAAGAAACAATTATCATATGAAGAAGCAGTGAAGTTATTAAAACATCATTTACAACCCGCACCATTAGCCCTAGGGGAACGATTTATACAATGGAGGCAGAATTGTGAAAAAAAAATATGCGTATTACTTTGCAGGATTAAAGAAGCTAGCGCGGTATTGTAAATTTGACGGACACCTTAATGAGAACCTGAGAGATCAGTTTATGTGCGGTATAAAAAGCGACATAATTCGTCAAAGACTATTCGCAAAGAACGATTTGCTAACGTATACGGACTCCGTAAAGATCGCAATTCCTTTGGAGACGGCGGAGCTGGACACGGTCGCGGTTAAATCGACAGCGTCGATGGGCTTCGGAGGGGAAAGAATGGAAGCGGCGGGACGGCGCAAGTGCGGGTAAACGCACTTGAAACGTGCGGGCGGGCAGCGCCAGCGCCAGGTGTGGCTGGCGGCGGCGGCATGCGGAGCAGCATGCGAGGCAGCGGTGGAGGCGCGCGCTCGGCTAGAGCGAGCCGCGGCTCTACGCGGTTCACACAGCAACGAGGTGCCGGCCAAGGTTTCGGCGACGGTTCCGGGAGAACATCCCAATGCCAAGGTTGCAGGGGAGCGGACCACAACTACGACACGTGTCGTTTCCGGAGCTACGTGTGCCGCCGTTGCAAGCGCACGGACACCTTCGCCGGGCGTGCCCGCAGCACGCAGCATAGTGGTTATCCACTGCGGTACTTGGGCGAGGACTCCAACGAGGACGAGAACTAGCAGCCCTAAGAGGACTTACCACTGACACTTCCCTTCGCGGCACCGTGCGACTAACGTGTGACTTTTGCTAACAATTTAAATATTGTTTTCTGTTTTTCTGCGACTAGTTTCCGGTTTGCGGGCGGCTAAAGGTTGTGTATAGTGTTTTAAAGAATATCAGTAAGTTTTTATTGTTTTTAAACAGTAATATAGTGCTGAATTAGTTTATAACGACTATTGGTGAGTAAATTTATTTTCTTTCTAAAAGTGGGTAGGAGGTATCCTTTGTGTATATTGATTTTTCTCTGCGTGTTGTTTATTTTTAAACTTTTTCTTTTTGAAATTGTTGTTTGGTGTGTCTTTGTTTGGCTATGTCGGTCGTTAGCGAGTTGCCGGATCCCGGCGGTACAAGTGAATTTCTAACACCAACCGGGAAAAGGACATTAAACGAAATGTCACCTACGGATTTCTCGCCAAAAGAGAAGAGAAGTAAACGCATTAATAATTCGGATTTAAGTGGAAATGTTTCGTCTCTTAACGGTCGTGATAACTGTGGGGAGTACAATTACTGTGAGTTAGTCTCACAGGCTACCGATTATTAGGCAAAAATTAATGAATTAGTTACTGATCAGGGATCTCGGATGAATGTAGGTAATAAAACGGTAATTATGGATATTACTCAACGAATTAGGGTTACGATTAGAAAAACCGAAAGGCCGTAAGCCCCGTATAATTGTAAAAGACGTACCCGGTTCTATGGAAGATCGTGCCTTCCTAACAGCCTTATACCGTCAGAATATCAAGGACGAATTAAAATTAAGTGAGAACGATTTTATTAAGTCAACCAAAATTGTTAGGCATCGTAAACTAGAAAATGGGCGTCAGTGGATAGGCTTAGAATTAGAGGCAGCAGTTAGGAAACATCTAGCCAACACAAAAGATAAACTTTATATAGACTAGGCCACATGTAGATTCATAGACGATATAGAAGTAGTTCGTTGCTTAAATTGTCAGCAATTCGGTCATGTACAAAAGTTTTGCACCATTAAAACCCCTACTTGTGCTAATTGCGCCGCCGCACACGAAACGCGAGCTTGTCCAGATGAAGACACACCAGATTTTAAGCCCACGTGCGTACAGTGCAAGCGGTTCCTAAATGTCTTTTAATTAACTCCTTACCTAAAGCCTTTGTTAACATGTCAGCTGGTTGCTCACTTGTGTTGATATAATTAATACAACTTTTATTTTCTCTGACCAGATTTTTTACAAATTGAAAGCGAATGTCCACATTTTTTTATCGCTTTATGTTATCTGTTTTTGCATTTATTATAGCTGACTGATTGTCACAACATTTCGCAACTGGGCAAACATTTTCACAACCAAAATCAGTTAGTAAATTTATAAGCCATAACGCATCACTAGCAGCCATACTTAATGTTACATACTCAGATTCGGTAGAGGACAGACTTACAGAAGCTTGCTTCTTAGAGCACCACAAAACAAGAGAATTTGACAATTTAAACGTATAACCTAAGGTGGCCTTTCTATTCTTGAGATCTCCTCCCCAATTAGCATCACAATATCCTTTCAGAATAATATCTTTACATTTATTAACCAATTTATAATCCAGTTAAATGTATGTGATGTATGTATTTCATTTAAATGTGATTGTATGTTGGACAATGTAGATTTGTGTGTGTATCGGGTCTGACATTATGTAATTTAATAGAATTTTATAATATCACATGTTGTCTAGTAGTAAATGTAATGTGTAAACAATTATTGGCTAACCAAAAATAAATAAATAATTAATTGTCATTTATAATGTAAACTATACTTTACATATCTTTAATGCACTTAGTAACTCATTGTTTGCGCTTGTTTGGTATCTACTTAACATAGAAACTGGATAGCATAAATCGGGCCTAGTATCTAATGCCGCATACATTAAGCATCCCATAATTTGCCTGCATAACTTTTCAATGCCTTTATCAATAGAAACAATACCATTTGCAAGTATTTTGGCATTAAAATCCATAGGAGTGGATATTTCTTTACAGTTTTCCATATTCAATCTTTTGAGAATATTTTCTAAATACTTTGTTTGATCCAGTTCAGAAATACCACTTTCCAAATTTTGCTTCACAGTTATGCCTAGAAATTTTGATATTGGTCCCGTGTCTTTCCTTTGCAATTCTTTATTTAAACTAGCCTTTAATTGTGAAATATGCTTCTCATTTGTACCAAAAATCAAAATGTCATCGACATACGAGTATATACTTATAATAATAATAATAAATATCTTTATTGTACACCAGGTATAAATATATAAAGATTAACTTAAGCTAGGTTAGACAGGTACAAATGGCGGCCTTATCGCTCAGAGGCAATCGCTTACAGGCAACCTTGGTATGGAGAGAAAAACATAAAGGCAAGGAGGTGTAGGGTAGTGGCTGGTGTACTAAGAAAATATGAGTAGATTAGAAGAAGAAATCAATGTAGCATCTATATAAATATAAAAAAAAGTGATAATTACAAAATAGTAACTGGTAGGACTAGGTCTAGGACTCTGATACGACTTAGGTGAATATATGACATAGGTACTAGAAGGAATATGCCATATCATCACATCAACAGCCTATACTAGTCCACTGCTGGACATAGGCCTCTCCTTAGAAAGGAGGTTTTGGCCTACTATACCACGCTGGCCAGACGGGTTGGTATAGAGTTTGTTTCAAGTTTTCCTTCTCTTTGCAGTGCTGTTGTCCTGCTTAGTTTGCTCCCTTAGTCGGCTCTTACGACACCCACGGGATGAATTGGGGTGGTGACAATTTGTATTCTTAATCCGTCACCGGCATATATTTAGCATATAGTATATGCCATATACTATATGCTAAATAAGGCTAGTGGTGTTATTAGATACATACAAGTAAATAAATACATGTGATTTATAAATACATGCAAATGTATATTCTTAAATATATCTATAATATACATACATTAATAATATACAAATCCAGCTGATATTAATACGCCGCTCAACCTCTTGTTCTTCATTTTTTTTTTATCTTCGAATGATATTTGTTTCCCTAGGTATACATAGTGGTTCACATGCTCTAGGGGCTTCCCATTTAGGTTTATAGGGTTTATGTGGCTGTTTGTCATTACCTTCGTTTTGATTTCGTTCATTTCCAGTCCCACTTTTTCGCTTTCTTTATTTAAAGTGTTTATCATTTTTTCTAGCCCATTACTTGCTTCAGCAAATAGAACAATATCGTCGGCAAATCTGAGGTGAGTGAGTCGATCTCGATTGATTCTTATTCCCTCCGTCTGCCAGTTAATATTATCGAAAATTTGTTGCAATACTAGAATGAACAGCTTTGGCGAGAGAGGGTCTCCTTGCCTCACTCCTCTGCAGATTGGTATATCTGGGCCTCGTACTTCTAGTTTGACTTGGCTTACGCTATCCTCGTATATGTTTTTCAGCTGGAAAAAGTTTTGGTCCATGAAGGAAATCCTGAAAGGAGATTTTCCCCTTCACCTAAAGAAAACCGTCTTAGATAGCTGTGTCTTGCCTACTCTCACATATGGATGCCAAACCTGGACGTATAACACCAAAATAAAAACCAAACTAATGGTATGCCAGAAATCAATGGAAAGGAGTATTCTCAAAATAAAAAGAATGCAAAAAGTTAAAAGTGCACATATAAGAAGAAGAACAAAAGTCATAGATGCTTTACAGTATGCTCTAAAACAGAAGTGGAGGTGGGCAGGGCACATAGCAAGACACACAGATCAAAGATGGACATTAAAGACAACTGTTTGGGAAGGACCAACAGGGAAAAGGAAGGAAGAGGGCGCCCCAGAAAAAGGTGGATAGACGACATAAAGGTGATAGCAGGCAGCGAATGGATGGGGAAAGCCCAGGACAGAGAGGTCTGAAAAAAGCTGGAGGAGGCCTATACCCGAGAAGGGGTTCCGATCAATGGTATTGAAGACAGCAAATTGATCTATTAAATTTTTATTTTTATTTTTATTTTTAAACATTACGCATGAAACAAACATGAAATTTAATCAGTTTTTAACCGACTTCAAAAAAAGGAGGAGGTTCTCAATTCGACTGTATTTTTTTTTTTTTTTTTTTTTTGTATATTTGTTACGCGATTACTCCGGCAATTATAAACCGATTTGAATAATTCTTTTTTTATTTGGTAGGTCATACGTCAGAGGTGGTCCCATTGTCACCAGGTCAGGATCTGATGATGGGATCCTGGGGAAATCGAGGGAAACCCTCAAATTTTGTAGGCATATACACTGTTCATCAGAAATTATCTTAATCTATGTAGATTTTTGCATCTAATGGTCACCATCTGATGTTGCTGAGCTGATGATGAAGCTGTTGATGAACGGTTTAGGAGTATGGGATCTCTGTAACAAAATTATGTAATACCATCGAATTTGAATGTCCGTGTAGTGACGGATTAAGAATACGGAATGTCACTACCCCAATTCATCCCGTGGGTGTCGTAAGAGCCGACTAAGGGCGCAAAACAACGCAGGTCACCAGCATTGCAAAAAGAAGGAAAACTTGACACAAACCCTATACCAACCCGCCTGGCCAGCGTGGTATAGTAGGCCAAAACCTTCTTTCTAAGGAGAGGCCTATGCCCAGCAGTGGACTATTAAAGGCTGTTGATGATGAATGTGTTTGAGTCTAATTAATAAGAACTCCGATCCTATGTGATATTCAGGGTCTGATGATGGAGACGGTAAATAGCCATGGGAACTCTGTAATAAAATAAAGCAATTCCGCCGTGTTTGTGCTCATTTGATTCGTCTCGACTAGGAGCTTCATGCTAGTCGATTTTTAACCAACATCAAAAAAGAAGGGTTTTTGATTCGACAGTATGTTTTCTTTTTAACCGACTTCCAAAACACAAAAGAGGAGGTTCTCAATTCGTCTGTATTTTTTTTTTTATGTATGTTTGTTACACGATTTCTTCGTCAATTGTGGACCGATT